GTCCCTGGCTGAATTTGCAGTACGCTCTATAGTGTCATGTGTGAATGAACGCAGCTTGTTGTATTTAACTACCAACTGTCTAAAAGCATTTCCTGAAGAAATACAGGTAATGTTTCTAATGAAAAAAAGTATAGAAAATTCAGGACTTCATAGTGTCCATGGATTAAAGAAGCATTTGAGAAATACATAACAAGACAACACAGGTTCCCCCAACATTTTTATTACTTCTAGTCTGATCCTCATTTTTTTATTTCAAGGAAGAGATAGGGTGAAAAAGAGACAATCTGTTGAAGACAGGGAGAATGAAGTCTATCATATGACTGGCCAAACTCAGTTGTGCGAAAGAGTCTAGGGTAATTCTCTTGACGTCAGAAGTGACTACTCCGGAATTGATTTTGTGAGAATAGGGTTTATTTCCTGTATCTTCTGGTAACTTGGTATTATATGCTGACTACTTGGTTGTCGAAGGCAAGCACACTCAAGTATATTCTATGTCCTTTTTTCTCCTGCATGTAGCAAGGCCAGCAGCTGCTAAAGTGTCAATAAATGTTACATTCAGAAATATTCTGTTCATACAACCTCAGAAGAGTGATAGAATTATCTATCGAAAGTCATTTGGGAGAGTGGGATTTGATGCCTCACTGGTGTAAACTGCTGTTTTTCCACCCATCTAAGTCTTGGCCAAAACATTTGGCAATAGCACTGTTGAATTCACTGGAGCTGTGGCAACTTAGCTTGGCTGAGACTCTGCCCTAAGAGACTCAGTAAGTGCGAGTGCTCCTCTAGGCTGTAGCCGTTACTCCATAAAGGACTTGAACAAATAATTCAATTTCCTTTGCCTCACTTTCCATACATGTAAATATAGCTTCTGGTAGCATTCGTCACAGTCTCACCATTTAGGAGGCATAATAAAAACTGCTGGAGAATATAGGATGAATCACGCATGTAAATAGGGAAACATGAAGATGGAGTAAGACTTCTGGGGAACAGCGGGCTGCTGGAAAAGCAAAAACAAAACAAAGCAGTAGTCCAGATAAAGAACAGCATCAATAAATAGGCTCCCAACTGTGAAGAAGCAGCTTCCTCTCTACATACATGACACAGCTACTTTGCCAAGGCCCCTGAACCTGGAAATTCAGAGCATATTTGCAGAATAATGCTTGTCTTGCCCAGGTGAAAGTAGGTCTTTTTTGGATAGAATTTAAGAGATTTTGTCAAGGCAGGTTAAGAATTATGTAACATCAGTTTCCTTTCTGTTATGTTACCCATTCTTCTGCTGACATAAATGTATTTTAAGTGAATGTTTAACGCCCCTGTTTTGAAGACACTCTTTTATTCATGCCAATGTGCTGCTGACTTCAGGTTCCTAGTAGAGAATGAGCTGCAGGAGCTGAATACAAGCAGGGTGAAAAGGTTCAGCTTAGGAATGCAGTCTTGGTATGGCAGAATCGTACCTTTTCTCTTAGAAGGCAGTGGAAGATGGCAAAGCCTGACACCTAAGAGCATCTGCACGCGTAACTGCGAAGAAGCCTGGCAGAGCCCACGGCTGGTTACTAGGAGATAGGAAATGAGGAGTGCTGGCTGCTGGTGGAAAGCGGCTGAATTAAAAGCAGCCCCCCTGGGCGCAGAGCAGGGGCTGGCCTCCCACGTGACCTGAGGCCTCTGAGGAGAGCGGGGAAAATGGCACAGGCACAGCTTGCCTCTGAATGGTGACACAGCCATTTGGTGCTTCAGGGAAGTATAGTGCCCAAAATAACTTACGCTATGTGCTTAATATTTTCCTCGTTCTTCTCCCCATTCATGACTTTTTTTAAAAAAAAGTCTGTGCAGCAATTAAAATAATCTTTTTGCATATTGTGCTTTAAAAGTACAAAAACAACCATCATCAGATGTGCATTCGTTCTGTTGTTCCTTATATTACTCATCGTAGCAGATAGCACTTGTGTATTTTTAAACAACATTCTTTCTTCCATCAGATTGCATTTCTTTCCGAAGGCTGAAGTGTGGAGCTCAGTGGTGGGTTCACCTTTTGTAGAACTGGTTTATAAATTTCTGTTCCAGTACACGTCATCTCTTTTGTCATGGAGGTGCCTCTTCAGGTAGTACGCTTGATTTTGAAAATCTGTTTTATTATGGGAAGCCAGCGTATTTTGATCTGAAAATGAAATGGTCATAGATTCAAAAACGTAAAAACAAGCAAACACAGACTCCTCCACCTCTCCTCCATCTGGCTAGTGATTTAATTGCAGCTCATCCTGTTCACACTGATGAAGTTTTCATCACTGAGACATATTGTGACACATCCTCTGTGATATATTTTTCTGTTTTCTGAACTGAAAGGCAGCACTGTTCCGCTGAGCAGTAGAACCATGGACTCTCAGAAGAGGTTAATCCACTCTTACACCTGGATTTCACATATCGTACCAATGTCCAGTCACATCTGTGCTCTTGGATGTAGCACTGGCAGCTGTAGTCTTCCAGATGACCTGCAGACTGCTCAGGCAGTTCCACCTGATATACTGATGTAATGACTGTTCCCAGGAAAATGTGTTGGTTTGTCTGTAAACTGTAACTATCGCTGTGGCGTTTGGCCCAAAGCTGTGTTGATGTGTCCACATTATAATATTTTAATTTAATACTGTAATATCTGCAGTATAAATGAATACATATTTTCTCAGCTGTAAGACTGATCTATTACTGGGTCTTGTGAAAACAGGAATGTGCCGCCAAGTGGTAGAAAAAAAGCGGTAACGTTTGATCAGTGGGTCATTTTGTATAGCTCAATTCTGGAGCCTCAAAGGCGGAATCATTTTTCAGTCTTTATTTGCAGTAAAGCTTGTGTTAGATGTATGGAACACTGTACATCAGTTGTACATAACTAGTCAGCAGAGCATGAATTTCCGAGCAATGTAAGCGTGCTTTGTTTAACCTTTTCCTTCTTCTCTGAAGCCTCTCCCCTGCGGAGAAGCCCAAGAACACATGTACCTGAAAGAACAAAGAAACAAAAATTTAGAAACCTTATCATGATAAACTTGGATTCTAAAAATAATGTCTCACCTTTCCGCTGCCGTTTTGAAAATACTCTGTAGCCATCTCTTTTTAATGTCCTAGGCAAAATATTGGTGTAGGTGGTAAAATGGCTAGCTAGGGTTCTGACTTGGCTCTGGGCCTTAGCCAAAAGCACACACAGAGAAAAATTTTGACAGAGCTGTCAATATAACCTATGTGAAGGTAAACTGTTGTGCTCCTTGGACATTAGTTACTAATCGGTCTAGTTTATTGCAATAAGTTCCAACATTGTTTATGGTTTGAGGAGCAAACTGTGCTAGAGAACTCTAGAGCTGGGTTTGTTGCAAATTGATTTAACATTTTGTAGTAAAGCGTTCTTGATAACCTCAGCCTTCCTGATCATTTGTCTCAGATATGTTCATACTTTTCCTTTTGTGGCTTTCCTTTGTATAGTGCTTACCTGTTATTTGTTTGTATCCAAGCTAAGAGTTATGTTGCATGTTTTCTTTTAAAGTAACTAACTGTAAACAAAAAAAACCCTAAGTAGTGGCATGTCACTCTTGAAAATAACAAATAAAATCTACTTATTCCCCCACTTCTCCAGCTTCTTTTCTGAAGGTTCATTCCTGACCTAAAACTGTAAACTATGTCTTCACCATTTAACTAATAGAAATTTTATTTCTTACAAATTTTACAGAGGTTTTGTATTTGCTGCAGAAGTCCAGGATCTATGCAGAACGAAGATGAAGGCAATGCTTGCTTTCTTCTGAAATTTAAATAAAAGTATGAAAGTTGAGAACAGAGTATGTGTGAAAAGATCAGGGAACTGAAGCGATAGTTTTTACTTGCTTAAGTTGAAGTGCTGTCAAAACAGTTTCCAAACAAAAATCGAACTACTGTCTTCAGGCTCTGATATGCATATTTTTGTAAGCTTAAATATATGGTTATCTTTGGAGTAGATACTCAGATGGTTTGCTGAATCATGTGTTAGAGATTGACTAAATTCCTTAACACCAAAAAATAGGTCAACTATGTGACTGTATAAAATACTTTTTCATAAAGATTGTAAAACCTACACATATCTGTTCAGAGCTTTTTATGTTTTCAGTTACCCTTTTTTGGATCATTGAAATATTAAAGAAATACCAATGTTTGCTTTCAGTTCGCCAATTTTACTTATTTACCATCTTCAGTATTCTGGATCCCAGTTTACATTGTGAATACCATTGTGATAGACTGGTATTTTATGTAAGATATTGTGTTAGCAGTTTATATTTGTAGACCACCTTAGGAACTAATAAAAGTTTTGCTCCTATGTCACATAAGGGTCACCCTCAGTCATAATAGGACGTGTTCTACATGAGTTGTCCATCATCTTGTCTTCCCGTTTATGCAGACGTCTTCCTTTTTCATCTTTGCTCATACGACGACTTCTTCATGGTTTTGTTGATATAGCATCCTTACAGAGACTGCAGTAGTTGTTTACTTTCCAAGTAATTTAAAAAAAAAAAAAGGAGATAGTCTTAAAAACTTGAATCCATTAAACATTCTTTTTTTTTTTTTTCATTTGCAGAGCAGGCAAATAGTAGTCTTGTGGTCTCTGTGTACACTGCGTATACTCTCTAGCTTGTTTCTCCTGTATTATTTGCATCAGTGATGTCCAAACTCTGAAGCAGATGATGTTTCTCCAGTGCTGGAAAAATCCTTTCAAGGCAAAACTTGCTGACCTTGAGAAATCTCTCTGAGGCAAAAATTTTGGCTAACTTTTGGCTGCTTCTAAAGAGATTCAGGTTGATCATTGTACAGTTACGTTACCACTGGAATAATAGTGGGAAGAATCAAAGAAAAGTAGTATAACAGCTTTGTGGGGCTACTAGCATATCTTCAGTCGAAATTTGCCTGTAGAAACCACAGCTTTACTAAATTGAGTAGTATATGTAATGCTGGTGTTCGCTCCCTAATTTTATGGTCATCACTTTGTTCCGTTTCAGATCAGAAGACAAGGTGGAATACAATTACTGGTGGACCTGTTGGACCACCGAATGACAGAAGTCCACCGTAGTGCCTGTGGAGCTTTGAGAAACTTGGTGTATGGGAAGGCAAATGATGACAACAAAATTGCCCTGAAAAACTGTGGTGGTATCCCAGCATTGGTACGGTTACTCCGCAAGACTACAGATTTGGAAATCAGAGAACTGGTCACAGGTTTGAATCTTTCAATACTTTTTGCCTTGTTTCAAACCCTGTTTGCACAGTTCTGTGGTGTGTGTCGGTTGCTACATCAGTAACCTTTTACTCACTGCCATCTGTCTTGCTCTAACAAAATACTTTCAATCCCTTTGGGTATGTGAAATATTGAATAACTTTATTTAATGTTATGCAGTCAGTTTACTGGTGAAGGCATGGATTCATATTATGGGTAACTTTGTTCTTGGTTACTTAGCTGTGAATCTTCTTGTAAAAGTTGTGGTCCATACAAAAATGTACTGTTGTGGGGCAAAATTCTGCCATCAGCTCTACTCCGTTCTCCCTCCCATCTGGCGTAGTGCTTTACATGAAGAAGCAGGGTTTTGCTGGATTTTCTCAGAAGCTGTTATTCACTTCTGTTCTATCATTTATGGTGAGAATGATGTGTTTCTATTTGTATGTTTTTTGTAATTTTATTTTTTTTTGTGATTCTGGTAGTAAAATGCAAAAGTATGTTGGACCGTCTTCTGAAGCCTTTTTCTGAAATTCAGTAGCATGCTATGCGATGCATGTTGTACATAGTGTGTGCAGGCAGTGGTAAAGATGATTTCTTTTCTTGATAGAGTACAATCTGATTTTTACATTATGAAACTCTGTTTGATTGCTGACATGCATGTGGTGATTAATTTAATGCTACAAATAGAAAATCTTAAGATCTTTTCATTATCCTATTTTACAATGCCTGTGTTTCCATCATGATTTTCCTACTCAAATTCATAAGAAAAGTTCTCATTTTTGTCATAGAAGCATCAGCATTCACATCATCATACGTGCCTCTGGAGAAATCACTTAGGCTTATGGGTCAGTCCTCATTTAGGACGCAATTGATAAGATTATCATCCCCTGGTTGGCTCCAGATTCCTTGCTTGAGGGTGTTTGGATAAACTGCATGGTGTTTATTAAATGTAGATTTTTATATTTAATTTTGTTTCTTAGTTACAACACCTATTACTTCCTACTTGTTAGGCAGGATTAATGGGACAGAGATGCTGAGTAACCCAAGCGCTGGTGGTGCCTCCTGCAGAGCGACAGAATTACTGACAGATCTAATAAAGTGTAACCACTACTGCAGATTGAAAATCCTTGTTTGTCTCGTGGTTATGTTGTCTATGTCCTGGCTCCAGGGAGCATTCTGCCTATTTATTCTGAGTAATAAGTGGCAAATTGCTAATGAACTTTAGCAGTGCACTTCAGCAGTTTCGGTGGCAGTTTCCATGCTGGCTGTAGGCAGAATACATAATGTCCTTAGGTCATTTAAGGCAAAGATAATAGGCTGCAGTTTACATCCCATCCAGCACACGGTGTGTTGTTAAGCTCTCCTGAACACCCGCAGAAAGAAAGCAGGTGCGTGCTGGCATGCCCAGCACGTGGAACTGCTGCGAAGCGGAGAGCTCTGACCTTCCGTGGTGCTAACCAGCACTGGTACTAGAAGATGCGGCTAGCAGGGACGATAACAGTCAAGAGCAATGAACGTCTGTAAAAGGGGAGCAGAGCAAGTTGACTCCAAGGAGTGGAATCGAGGACATTTGGAGTTCAGGATTTTATTGCTTGGACCTGTTTTGGTGTTTTAGTTTTTTGTTTTTAAGTAATCAGTGCATCCTAGCGGGCCCTTTTTTGCCCTGGCTGAGTTTTGTGCCTTTCAGAGGGCAAGTCACTGGCCCTTGGTTTGAAAATGAAATCCTAGCAGGGATGTTAGTCCACAAAGCTTCTACCCAAAGCAGTGCTCATAGCTGCACCTCTCATCTTAGATCCCTCAGAAAACCAGCTAGTGTTGCGCGTCTTAATCAGTTCTCAATTGCTTTTCTGGAAAGTCACAGAAAAAAAGGCCCTTTTCACTTCTGAAAGTGGGACAGCTGCCCCACTTAAGTTCCTCCCCTCTGTCCTCCTGGGGAAGGACGGGTAACTTCTGCAGCAGCCGCCGCAGCAATGGAAAAAAAAATAACTTGGTGGTAGGCGCAAGGGACAACAAAAGCAATTTCTCTTGTTTCTTGTCAGCCTCCTTGAGTTGAGGCGGCAGGAGGATAATTATTTCAGTAGTGCCACCATAGCCTGAAGGAAGTGCTGAGGAAATAATAGCAAATGTGTGTTTCTGTAGTAAATATAAACCTTGAGCCTTTCCATCTCGTGTCCATTGTCTGTCCTGCCTACACGAAAACTATTCTTGCTGCTCTTGGAGAGGGCGCAGGGTGTCTGCCTTAAGAGTTTATAGGGCTTCTGCCATCACTGCTGCTGAATATTCCCTGAGCGTCTGTCCTCAGACTGCTTCTCCTGGGTGAGGAGGCATCAATGCTTTACAAATGGGGACCGAGCACAGTGAGTTTAAGTGACCTGTCTAGAAACCTCGCAGGAGAAAGAGGTGAATCGCTGTCATCAGGCACTTGGCTGTGAGCAACGAGATGGGGGCAGGAAATGTTCTTAGTGGCTCAGTTTATCTGCAGAGCAGCAAAGCATTCGTTGCTGCCCCAGCCAGCGTCTCACACCTGGCCGTCAGAGATGGTTAGGATATTCGCTTTTTCCTCAAACATGTACATTTTCTTCTTTATTGTTGCCTCTGTCTAAATAGATTATCATTTCAATTTCCGGCTATCTCAAGGCTGGCTTTGGAGGGGTATTTAAACTTGCAAGCCCGGCAGCTCCTTGTCAATATTGTCTTCAGCTGGATTTGTGGCTTTTCCTCCTTTCCAGAAATGTCTTCGTGCCATAATCTCTCCAAAACCTGTCCAGAAGTCTAGTAAGACATAGACATGAATCACTTTGATGAGGCGCTTGGCTGAGAGGAAGGAGATGTGAGCAAGAAACGCTCGTTCCTTCTTATTTTATCTCCTCTTTCTCCTTGTTAGCTGAGGCCTTTGACTCATGCTGAAAAATCTTACTCTGCTCGAATTTTTGGGTCAGGCAAACTGAACCTTTTTTTCAAAGCAGCATAGCTCCAAAGCCTTCGTGACCTGCTGCACATGGCCTCACGCAGGCTTCCCGGTGGGGGAGCTGCTCTCCAGCTGCCACCAAGTTAAACGTTCATAAAGCCCGGGAGCTCCCTCTCAGAATACTCCAGAAACACCGCTGCAGTCACTGCTTTTTACAAGAAGAACCTGTATCAAGCAAGCAAGGTATACCCATGAATATAAATACATGTATGTGCAAATGAAACATGCTGATACAAGTAGAGTTTTTTACAGGTCTGCAGCGAGGAATCTGCAGCTTCTGATAATTTCCAGAGACTCAAGGAGGAGCCGAATTACCCGGCCTTGTTTCACGTCAGTCGAAAAGTCTGTGTAATCTGGCTGTACTACTGTAGATTTAGCCATCCTTTCACCCCAGCTCTGTGCTACTGATTTCCCAGGAACTCCTGGTAAAGGGAAAAACAAACTCCTTTATTTTTAAAATAATTAAACGTTAACACTTTCCTAATAATCATAAATAGATGAGAATGCAGTACAGAATTAGCACAGAGTTTGCAGATGGTGGGAAACAAATGTTTTCACTTGTTAGTAGTGACAGCGTGTAGCTGATTTGGGACTCTGCTTTCCTTTCCTGAGATAGGAGCTAATTATGAGCACTTCCACGAAATGCTGTTTTAGTGTCATTTCTATTTGCTTTACTATCAGAAAAAATAAGGCCCAAAAAATAAACGTTAGCGAGGGTAGCACAGGAGTCCCCACTGGTTCCTTGAGGAAGAAGTAAGGTTAATGAGCTACTGCTAGAGTCGCAGAATCACAGAATGGTTGAGGTTGGAAGGGACCTCTGGAGATCATCGAGTCCAGCCTCCCTGCTCAAGCAGGGTCACCTAGAGCATATTGCCCAGGATCGCGTCCAGACGGGTTTTGAATATCTCCAGGGAAGGAGACTCCACCACCTCTCTGGGCCACCTGTTCCAATGCTCTGTCACCCTCACAGTGAAGAAGTTTTTTTTCAGGTTCAGATGGAACTTCCTGTGGTTCAGTTTGTGCCCATTGCCTCTTGTCCTGTTGCTGGGCACCACGGAGAAGAGGCTGGCCTCATCCTCTTGACACTCCCCCTTCAGATACTTATACACGTTGATGAGATCGCCTCTCAGTCTTCTCTTCTCCAGGCTAAACAGGCCCAGCTCTCGCAGCCTTTCTTCCTAGGAGAGATGCTCCAGTCCCCTCATCATCTTTGTAGCCCTACAGTGTAGTCATCCTACACTTGCTCTTTCTTCCATCAGCCACATCTGATAACTTACCTGCCTCGGTTAAAACTATTGAAACTACTTTTTTTTGTTTTTAATGTGGATAGACAAAACACATCACAAATGGACTCACAGCTTCTGCCTCCTGAGACATGAGCTAGCTAAATTAGCAACACCTAAAATTAGAAACAGGGGGCCCTTTTAAACAGGTCCCCTATATTACTACAACAGAGGTTTTCAAACCACAGGTGACATATTTGATTGACAGAGCAAAGTGGATGATCCAGTTTTAGAAAGCAGATGATTATAAAGAGATGTAACTAGAACTAAAGAAAGGGGAAATTATTTCTTACTGTTGTATGGGCAGCCAGCCTGCTGCTTGGTTTGGGTTGACATGACAGTGTCAGAGATTTAACTGTTGTCTACTGAAAACAGGAATTACGAAAATTACCAATTTTACTGCCAAAGTTTTAAATGCAGAAACTATGTAACACTGTACATAGACGTATACATATAGTCTCTATATATTTCGTTCACATTTATTTTCATTGAATCAAAAAGGATTTATTCCATTTCTGCAAAAAATTATCACAAGTTTTGCAGCCAATTGTCCTTTTTAAAGAGGCACTAGTTGGCCAAGTGTATGTGGCCTCATGATCAAGATGGACTTTAAAAATTCTTCATTTACTTCAGGGATTTGGGGTTCTAATATTCATTCATATTGTCTACAATTTCAGCTAGAGCCAGCTGTTCTTTTTGGCTTGGTTTGATTTTTCTTGCCATCCCATTTTCTACAACATTATTATGTAGT